TTCAGCTGGTCAATTGTAGTGTCTCATAAGGAGACATAGCAATTTTGCAGCCTAGTTAGCCGCACACGACTATCAAGGGCGCTGGTTTTCAAATGATGGTTTGAACCAGCTGCTGGTCTGCCAAGGGATCGCAAGCGAGCCTCAGATGTAAGCGCCACGTTTGAATCAGTGTCCAAATGCAATCAGACGGGATGACCGTTGGTCAAGTTGTCAACGAATTTCCTGTGTCTCGTTGCGTTGCCTTGGAAGGTAGCCAAGCAGTCCGACTCTAAGAACAGGAAACAGATCCAACGTGAGCTATTTCAACCTGAGAACAAGCGTTGGACAAATGGTGTTCATCCACGGCGATTCCATCCCGGCACAGATTTTTGGAGACTATGCATAGCAATGCAAACATTGGCATACAAAATGAACGATGATTTTATACGGGTTAAGAAGCATTGCTTTACATTCTCCATCATGTGAGCTGATAGGTTAGCGTAAACAGTTGATGATGAAAACAGTTATGGGCTGTTTGGTCAACATAATGGACTCATCGTTACTGATTCAGCAACCGCGCACCCAGAGTATTTCTATGGGTTTAATAGGCGAGTAATGTAAATCCGATGTATTTCCCGGGAGTAGGATGCAGAGTAACACTAAGTCACGAAAGGTAAGTTGCATAGTGCGTCATCTAATGGGTTTTTAATTATGATTAGCGAGGGTACTGTAACAACTAAGTGGAGGCCAGCGTTCCATAGTTGATATACACGAATGGAAAACCAATGTCTACGGCACGTCAGACGGCTGTATTGTTCTGCTCATTTCAAGGAGTGGCCACTTCTTTTGGTGTTACTACTAAATTACCGTGAAGAGCTGCACACATGATTTGGCTTGTGTAAACTCTAGATCACCATAATCAGGTCGCTTCGTTATCGCCGATACTGCTCTCTGAAAGCTCCCAAACGTTTCAGCCTCTGCTGTTACAGAAGATGGTGCATTTCAGCGACGTGTTTAGTAGCCCGAGGTTGCGGTTGTCCAATGCGGTAAGGTCGTGCTTCAACCATGACTGCCACGCTTGGGTTGCGTATTCGAAGTGGGAGCGATCATGCGCATTCAGCATCGTCTGAAAATAGTGGTGTCTAGTTGTCCGAACGCCTATCGTAGCAAGCCGACATGCTTTTTACCAGTTTACGATGCTTTGGCGGATTGCTTGGAATAACCTAAGTTATCCTGAACGAGCACGCGAAGGTGGAGTTCGACGGATGGTCTCTGCAGTAGTTGCGTTCCTAGATTGTAGGAATAGTTACTCTGATGTGGCGTGAAGTGTACCTTGCATCTTTCCACTCATGTACCATATCTATATCCCACTGCAACATATTCTGATGGGCATCCACCTGAATCCGGTGCCATATCTTGGTATCGTCAGCAAGCGGCAATACATTGGACTCTAATTTCCGTGCAAGATCATTGATGAATAACAAAAACATTCGTGGACCTAGTACTGAGCCCTGGTGCACACCAGACTCGACTGAGATGGGTTCAGATTAGGAATCCTGAACTCTGATCAATAACGGTTATAGCTGGAGGCAGTTGGTGATTCAGATCAACAGAGGGTCACCGATTTCATCGTCTCAACGATCGAATGCCTTCAACAACTCCACTTAGACAACATAAACCGTCATTCCAGCGTCAGCTGACTCTGTCCGACTTCTATGTGCGAGTAAGGGATTCGTTATACCCAATCTCTGTCGACGAAAGCCGTGCTGCTCGGGAGCAATGATGTTACAGCTTTCTAGATTACACCTCAACGCATCGGTGACAATGGATTACATATCCTGGGATAATAGAGGGAGAAGTGTCTTTGCGGTTGTTTGAGTGCTCAGTCCTGCTTCTACCTTAGTGAATTGGGGTTATGGTTCCAAGCTGCTACATTACAGGAATCTAATTCTGGTCTAAGCAACGCTGAAAGAACTGGGCTGAAGGTTTTGCCAGCTGTCAGGCTGCTCTTCTCAGTGCCTCTGGGGAATGGTGTCGACATCTGGGGAGGTATGTTTGCGTAGCGATATCAATTTCCTCAAAACATCTTCGGAAATAAACAAGATGTTGGTGTTTTGTAAGCGGTATGGTAAAAGTTGGAAGCTAACCTGATGGTAAGACGCTCTGAACTGTTGGAGCATATTGCGCTGCAACGAGTTTGTTGCACTTATTGCTGTTCAAGTTGGACTATCAGTCGTCCGGAGCAGAGGAATACCCTGGCTCAATTAACGCCGGCCGCCAACATACTTGCACAGCAGTTTGTGGTTAGCGATGAAAGTTTTCGCCATATTCTGCTGCTGTGCGAATTTGTCATATCTGAGCCGTGGAGTGCAGCGATTAAGATGGGCTACGTAGATGTCCCAACTAGCTGGCGTTCGTAGTGATCTATTCTCTCGCTAGGCTGCATTGCACACAGTCATCCGTTTTTTGTTCTGCTGCTTAAGAAAGGAAGGATTTTAGGAAGATTGACAACACTTGTATTTAAGGAATATGTAACCACTTGATTGCATTTGCTGAAGAAATTAAGTCAAGCGGCTTTCGGTTAGCCATCATAAGGGAACGACCAGGTTGTGGCACTGACGAGCTTTGCTAAGCGGTCATAGCGCGTAACGGTGCACACCAACTCAGTGTTCTGGTGGCGAAGTACCACATAGCAGATGAAGTCGAAACTGATGAGTACGTGAACATTGCAACCCAAAGGGCATTCTTTAATCAAAATATCAGTCACATTATCCATATTGATAAACACAAGCTCCTAGAGACTTGGTCTATTATCCGTTAGCATCGGATTTTAAACTTTTGCACAACTGCATAGAGTGGTTCTCTGATTGTAGCATGAGGCCTTTTAACAGTGTACGTTGAAATCACCAATTATGGGGCTGCGGGTGTGCTTCCGTTTTAGACTGCATCTTTAAGTTGTCGCAAGTTGGCAGGCTGTTTCAGGTGTAAAGTTAGAGTGGCGGTACACCAAAGCTACAAGGCAGGTGAACCTGCCGTGTAATTGTAGGCATCACTACAGAGAATCCGTGATTTGTAAGTCTGAATCCCTAAAGGTTTCGCAATGTGGGTCGCTTTGGCCATACAGAATTAACCCTCCCACTTTCGGAAGCCTGTCGTTTCGTATGAGTGACATTCTTTGCAGCGAGCTTTCATCGTTTGTTGCTGGTTTATGCCCTTGTTCGGCAGGTGATCAATCTCATTTGAACTGATGGTTAATCCACTTTTAGCCCATTGGCCTTTCACTTATATGATTGTACGGGTCTGAAGATGAATCACTGAAGTCAATTGTTTATCTTCGGTCTTTTGTTCTGGATAATGAAATGAGAATTTTCCAGTTATGGAAGGCATTTACATTGTCACTGCCATCGTTCCAACACTTCATTTGTTGGTTACTCCTGTTGCCACACCCTGCGCTGTAGTTGATATGTGGGTGAGCTGCAAGACCTATAATGATGAGTAAGCAAATATGCTTTGCTGTATCCAATTTTACCCCAGGTTGTATCCAACCTGCACGTTCAGATAACACCGCAACGACCGTACACTCGGCCAATCGAGCTGCATTTCGTCCATTCTCTATTAATACCTAGTGTTGGCGGATTTACTCTTTGACAATGTTGACCAAAACGCTACTGTCATTCTGTCTACTTTGTGCGATTCGGTATCAGATATGTATTCAATTACGCTGTTGTTCCGCATCTGCAGTGTACTCGCCTCGATTGTACTTTGATTTCCTGCGCACACATGTTCAAGCAGAAACTCCTTATAATCCGTAAACGCCTTCATTGTAATAAAAATGCTAATGGCAGTGAGCAGGAGTAAATCAATCGTAGTGGTGGATGGGAAACGCCCAACTAAAGGATCGATTTTAACCTTTCATTGGCGGTCTTTGCGCCTGCCTTACGGTCGGTTTACGGTTCCTACGTACCCGCCGCTTTTTCAAGTCTGCTTGTATCCACGTGACTGGTGAGCGAATGGACATTCGGTTCGCAATGCATGTGACTTTGGATCACGCTAGACTCGCACCACTCGTTCTTGAACGGCTGATCAGTCAATACAGGTACACGCTGTTCAGTGCAGTTGGCCAGCTGGTTCTTTCAACCATCACAGACGTAAGGGTTGATTAAATGTCGAACTTTGTGACAAACGCCTTGGGAAATACTTAGCTAATTAATTTTGTAATGGAAGTACTTGGACTATAGACTTTCTAATTAAAGTACTTGCATGTTTTGAACCCTGAATCAATATACGTTCTGCGTAAACAGTAGGAGTCAGTGCCAGGTTATGTTAATACTCGCGATTTTCATAACTCTGATGTCGCCGGGTGCAAAACGTTTTCAGAACGAACGCTTAACTTTGCACGCTCATATCTCGTTCATAACATTATAATGTTTGCACATTGCTGTTGCTTGTCGACAACCTCACTGGCGCCAATTTAATATCGAATTATAACTTGTATGATACGAGGAAGCTGCTTATGTCTCCGATAGAAGTATCACCGAAAAAGCTAAGATACTATACAATGAGCTTAGTGATTATTCAGCATGTGTAAAGGATCATCTTTCCATTGCTATAAACTCATGGATCAAAATACATTATCTGTCTACCTTAAAACTTCTCTATCACCAGTAATTTTGATAATTTCATGAGATATTACAAATTTACGCATAAGTTCCTTGCTGCCAACGCCCCCAAAACATGATTAGTAGATTATCTCCTAAACAAAATATCATTGGGAGTAACGGCGTCTCAATTTTATCCACAAGATGAATGATGTACTCCGCCTTCTAAACAAAATGCCCTTTAAATTTTATTGTTTGCTTTTTTCATTTGATTTTTTCACTTTTATCAGTAATGCGACAACCTAATTTTATCTATGGGTTCTCTGTACCAACTTGAATAAGCTGCGTAAATTTGTCTCATAAATTTACATCGGTGCAATTCGTATACAATTCAGTGGTTTACCTCTTACACCCTGTTCATCAGCATACACTTTGGGCGATTTGAGCTCTGTGGACAGCACTGGGAGTACGTCTCACCTCTATTCTGGTCAACGCAGCGCCGCTGCAGAACGAAAACTCGCACGTGCATCCAAAAACAAGGGATCGAATGGGATAGGTTCCATACGATCCGGTGGAGGGCGCATCCGTGACAAGTTCCGTTCGAATGTGCACAAAGCCGCACTTGTATCACAGCTGCATCTGTCACACCTACGCGGTAAATGGCCGTCGGGTGCTGCTGTAACTGGCTCGAAACATCTAGGCTTGGAGGATAATGTGGATGAGCTGGGTTTCAACATTCGTCACACAGTCGGTGGTGCTGGTGAAGGTTACTGCAACATGAATGTGATTTCTGACAAGTTTGTGAGTACTTTTCATCTTTCATGCTTCCAGTTTCTTTCCATTTAAAGCGAATTGACATTATATGTATTCCACTGCGGCCCTCTACATGGCCGATTAGATTCTGTTTTAAACCGAAACGCTACATGATTACTCGTCTACCCTCATTCATAACATTTTTTGAGGTCGGCAATTTAGGCGTGCGTTATTTTATCTCAAGAGGCATGTTTCCGAATCATAACTGCGACCATTCAATTATGACAGCGAACAATACGGCTAGCCTCTTAAACTTGAATGATGCTGCCTATTTCACAAACCACTGCATCATTTGTTTTGTTTACAAGTGGTGTTTTACATGCAACTTTGACTACTAGACATTGATTTCACATGTTGGGAAAGATAGCCGTTGTTTTATTGTCACAGAATAGAAAAGTTCACAATACGCCAGTTCCGATAATTAACGTTATTTCAGCTGTCTAAATTGAACGAACTAGATATCCTCAGCGAGCTGTGTTACCACAAGTTTGACTCTCTTGGTAGCTTATTTCCCTGAAATATGCAGAAGCATATAGCTTAGGAGAAGTGATGTACTGCGATCAAAACCTACTTTAACATGCCGTATGCACCTGACGATATTTCTGTCATGGGTGCGTGTCGCTAAACGCTGGTGTAATCGGTAGTTATGTAAGCATAAATCCAATCTTTCATATTATTGTATGCTGTTGCTCCTGAGCTATAGCGTGACACCAGCGTTCCATGGGCCCACCGGGACGTCGTATCGAAATCCACGAGTATGATATAATGGAATGTTTACAGTACTACGGCGCAAAAATCATAGTTGAACAAATCAGAAACCCGGCCACTGCACGTCAAAATCCAAGACCACTTGACTGTTGTAGCGCATGGATGCCTACAAACCGTTCTTCATATCTGACAGAGTCAAAGATGTTGAATCTCGCTGTCTGGTGCTGATCAACTGACCATCCAGTGTGTTTCCATTATCTATTGTAACCGAAACGAATCTGCCGGTTGGTTCATGTTTCACAGATGGCTGAAAATTAGCTGCCTCATTAATATCTTTAAATCAGCTTGGAACCGAATGCGAAACAATAACTTCGTTAGTATTCCAAGACAAATAGTTTTTGCATTGTATGTGATTATGGCAACATTTCTCTCTTGACACGAAGGCTGTTATGTCATACGATTGCGCATCCAATTATGGATATGTTTATTGACGCGGACAAGTAATCGTCAATTATGTTAACCGTAATATCTGTCTCAACTGGGACAGATGAATTTGTATATAGACAGTGGGACATGCCCTGACTTAACGGAACAAATGCGTATCTGCTTAGTCCTGACAATGCACTTACGTCCTACCTGAAGGATGGTAGACTCAATGGTGAACGCTGGTAAACCTTTTTTACTGGATGTATGATACACTTATAGCTGGCGGTCATCAGCTGCCATTCTCATTTTCATAATGTTCAAATCATGTCTTGTGAAATCACTATGGTATGAGCCCAAATTCAACTGTAAATGTAGACATTCATTACAACAAGACTCAGCCAGGCAGCCAGCACACGCCTAGTAAAACACTGTATGGTCGATTAATACATTCGGTAATTGCCAAAAATGCACATTCCATCCGACCTTTGTAGGATTCGAACACGCAACGCGACTGCTATCGGTCTGTTGTTTAGCTCACTGAGCTATTGGGGACGGAAACGACCGCCATGTCTAGGTTACTAGATGTGATATAGTGCCGCTAATCAACCACTGACTTGCAGCTTACGGCTGAGTTGGGGACAGGGTAGTGTCTTGAACCAGGATCGAACATACCAGAACTAGCAGCCAATTAACCGAATTCATTTTAAACAGTTTGATTTAACTGGCGATTACCAAGGCATACTACAGGGAGTTGTATCTTATAGACAGTAAGCAATGACCCCATTAGGAATAATATGAACCAGACCTCGCCTAGCTCTCACTGGTACTTTTGGAAATGTGCAAAATTAACCCTTCTAATTATCGAACAGTGTATCTTTCCCGCTTCTAGGGTATTTGTGTCGTAGATTCTGCGGACCCGGTATAACAGTGTCCACAGGAGTCAGTGGTTACATTGTTTGGAAGGGAACCGTGTAACATGCGAAGATTATTTAGTGGAGAATCACGATAGTTTTTCTAAAAGAAATGTTGCTCGAAGCTGGCTTTCTTGGCTGCTTCGGTTAATCCAACCATACAGTATACGAGTGACCACTTATATGTCACCATGCGTGTAGATAAGAAATCCAAGGAGAGGTCAGAGTACAGTATTGTGGTGGTAGCTGTGCGCTTGCAAATGGTGGCTTTAAGCTAGCCAATAATCTCCTCTGCCGTTGGGCCATCGAGTGAGACGAAGTTGTCTGTAAGATATGAGGTGACTGCAGCTCAGTAATGTGACCAGATGCAGAGCAGTTAAACAATTTCAAAGCAACGAAACTTGCTTGCAGCTGTAGGAATCCACATGGATTTCGAACATAACGTTAGTGACGCTGTAATCTCTTATTAATTTCCCCAATAGGTTTAACAAGACAGCGTATAAGTGAAAAAGATTGTTGAGGTTGCGAGTCGCATTCGGTTGATTGAATAGGTTGCATAGCAAACAACGAAGAGAATAAAACCAAACGTGTCGCGTAATATTCGCTTTTGCAAGAAAGGATTGTTCATGCCACATGTTGGTCACCTGCAACCAAATTATTTGTGGGAAAGGTTTAAACGTGTGTGATGGGGATATCCTAACATTGAGATATATCTGGCTGTAGATTTGGTAACGATTCGCTCTATAAAACACATAGCAGCAACCGTACTTAAGAATACAATTTGTAATTGTGTGTTAATTAATTGTTTTTTATACCGTGGACCATTTATTAATGGACACAAAGGTGTTTAGGCGACTGAACTGGTATTGCTTGTATATCACCTTTCTTTTAATTCGCCTAAAGCTGAAGCAGCCATTATTGACATAAGCACTTTAGCCACTCAATTTGGTAGTATTTTCTCAGGGCTACCCTTCGCTTTTTCGCCACTTAGATGTGGGCTATTGGAGGGCGAGTTCAATTGTATCACAGCCAGTATGCTGGGCGTTTTGCTTATTAATCTCCCCCGTGATTTTGTGTTGTTATGCCTGACCAGCAATTATGAGGTCAGGTTCTATCCCATCAGTATATAGAGAGAACTTGTACTGCCGACTATTCTCGTAAGAAGAAATAAAGACGTGTATCAGCTCTTTTCCGTAGTCCAGATGTGGTGCTTTTAGCCTACCTTTTGTTTAAATGCGCAAAGGGATCAAACGTGTAGACGATAACACGGAATTTCTAAACACTGCAACCTGACGTGCCCGTAATATGATAGGCGACTTAGCATGTGGTTCTGTATTGTTTCGAGTCAAATTTTACCTGTGTGCCACGACTATCAGATTTTATTAGGTTGCAGCTATTCTGTCTCATCTTCAGTAAATTGGTCTAGCAAAAACATGCTCCGCTCATTTGGCAGCGTCATGATTCAGAGGCCACCAATAATCACAATTGATGGTTTAGCTACCAGAGTACTGACACTAGCTAAAATGTGTAGACGTGATTACGAAAACCAACTTGCATAACCCAAGTGACATTATTTGTATCTTCAATAGACTTTAGCATACTTCATATTTCATTGTTGTTTCTCAATAAAATTCTATGGAGGCTGTGTTTAGTATTCGGCGCAACATAGAGCAGGTTATCTTCGCCTTGAATAAACTTACAGCCAAAATCAGTCGTATTTGCATGACCTGAAAGTATTAGATACATTAGACTTATCAAATTCATATTAGACATTTTAGGCTGGACAACTGGTAGCAGAATAAATCCCACTTGACAATGCTACTTTTGATGTTTGCATGATGAAAGAAGTCATTAGTCAGCATTCTAGGTAATCGATTACATCACAATATTGTCTCTACTCCGAACATTAAACCGAGTTTATGACGGAATATAGATGTCGTAAAATCGAACTTAATAAGTTTACTTTGTTCTTTGGTAGGCACTATCATGCAGACACTATCAGTTAATTCGACTGCCATGCGTTGTTTTGTGATAGAGGATTTTGGTCGGAGCGACCAGGTAGTTCCGTCAAGCGAAGCGGATAACCAGGAGCAGGTGAAACACGAATATTTGTAGGCAGTAGGATTTCCATACAGTCTACGCAGCTTTACCGATCGGCTAACAGGTGGGCAATTCAAACTGAGTATATATAATAGAAAGAACGGAGGAAAATTAAGTACAATGTGCCACTGTTTCAAATGGCATCTGCTTTACGATATATGTCAAAACAATTTACGACTGAACGATTTTCCCTGTCTACTGTGTTTGCTTTGCTGAATTTGCTGGATTTTGCTTGAATTAACAAGTGGGCCAACGATTTCACTTATCAGGCACTAAAGTGCCTCAGGTAAACATTGATCCCTGAATTTCTCCTCTTTTATGGCTGACATCCCTTTAGATGTGATCGGTAACCTCGTTATCCTTGAAGCAATTTGGTACCAATGCCTGAGTGCGATTGCACGCGCAGCTCCACTTCCAACTAAGCACACATTTTTGACGGAACTACCAGGATGTTGCACACAAGCGTTTAGCTGCATTCATGCTACCTAAAGCGCCTGCTTTCCAGTTGTAAGCACCACTTTTATTTTCCCCAACGAATACTCAACAACTCACTGTGGGGACATTTGTTATGAACTGTTCAGTGAAGTGTTTAGTGGATAGAAGCGCTGTCCTTTCTGAATAACGATTTTGTCCGTTATCTTTTGGCCAAATACCTGGGACAAGTTTCTTCAAATTTTCTGAATGTAAGTTTGCCAAAAAGCTAGGTATTTCTGCTAACCAGCCAACTTTCTCTTCTCTGAAACAAGTCGAAGAGGAATCCGTGTGAATAAGTGTCTCAACATTGTCATCTTGATTGCTTTCAAACTGTGCACGCGAACTGTTTTGCGAAATTCGCTTTTGGTC